GGTTGAAGCAGAATAGAATACAATAGTTTTGAGGGTTACTGATCCCTAAATAAAGTTGCCAGTGTCGGAGTGATGGAGATTAACAGGTACTAATGAATTTGCAAGAAATGTAAGATGTTTATTTTATTGGTTATATATAAAATAATTTGTGGCCGTAACAGGGGCCGATTTGTAAAAAAATTAATATTATTTTAATCAAATTCCATTTCAGATTCACTGCTTTCTTCAGAATCTAAGGAATCTTCAACTCCAATGTTAATTATTACCGGTTCCAGCATTGGATCAGTCATATTATCCAAATTCCACATTTTATTTTCTTCCTTGTGAGCATGACTAACAGCATTTTTCAAATTTTCTGGAGTTACTTTTGATAAGGAATGTTCTAATAATTGTTGTAAGTCTTCTAATTTAAAAGTTTTGTTGTTGCGTCCGACTTCACCCTTTACTTGAGACCATATATTTTCTATCAGATTCAGATCACAGTGGTATGGGGGTAAACGTAAAATAATTACATCATGGTTTAATGCCATTTCATCAATTATATATTTTTTATAAGCTGCTTTATGTTGCCTTACAATAGGTAATAATTCCTTTTTTGTCGAATTCTCCTTGTACTCAATTGCGTGTTTATTCAACCATTCGATTATCTCTCCTTTTTTCCATGCCGTTGTTGGCAATTTTTCTGCTAGTCTTGAATGGTAACTAGCCTTATCCATGACTATGACAGAATTTTTTTGGAATTAAATCCAACATTTGCTCAAAATATTCTTCAAAAACGTCAGCAGTCATTTCCTCGTGGTAATCTTTGGTTGATTTTGAGGCAAAACTTAATAATCCACCATTGACAAAACCGTATTAGTTTTCAATATGGGTTATTATGAGTCTGCGTCCTTTTCCAACGGGAATATTGTTTATTCCAGTAGATACACCTTCGATGAATGCCTGACGGGAACTTTTCATATTTGTATCAACCCATAGATATGGTACAGTATGACCTTCATTTAGCCAAGTCTCGTCCAAATAAAAGATTGTTTTCTCTTCTTCTCGGTACTTTTTAATAGTTCTAAGATAATCTCGTCTCCAACATAAAATGTAATATTTTTCAATTAAAACGGATTTTCTTCTATTCTTTTGCCAACAAAATCCCATCTCTCTCAATAGTCCCCATAATTTCTTGTTGCTTATGATTGGTAACTCTTCGTTTTCTCTAATTAATGTTTGGATTTTGTCCAATATTGGAAATTCTTTGTTAAAAAAAGATGAGTGCACGCTGCGTCTTATCATGTTTTTATGTATTTCTTCAATTTCCAAGGGTTTACTCCCTCCACTCTTCTTGGGAGATGAAACAGTTCCCCCTTTTCTTTCTTTTAGGAATCTATAAATTGTTGCTCCAACCCTTCTGTCATATTTGAACACATGTTAACGATTTCACGAACATTACTTAAAGGTCGTTGATGTACAAGTGCATCGTGTACATTTAATATTATAGTTTTCTCTCTTAGACTGAAGGTACCTTTAAAACTACACTTAGCCGGGATAAAACCTGTTGTCGACGTCATTTTTAAATGCAAATATCAAAGTATCGACACCAAAAACGTAGGTAGGTAAGACATGAACAATGTACATCTACAAACTAAATGGAAGACGCAAACAATTTCTAATTTATATTATTGGCATAAGCTGTAATGTGGCATAAAAACTACTTAAACTATCAATAGTGAAGCCTTATCAGTAATTCCAGGTAATCGTTCAAAGAAGGTACTCTTTTTGTGTCAGGCGATAACTTGTATAGAAAACAATAATCCCCTTTAAATTACTGTTTACATTAATTTATTTCGTGAAACATTGAATTCTCTCGTTAATCACCCGTGTATAATTAACAATAATCGTGTGGCATATATACATTTTTTACGCACAAAAAAAAGGTATAGTGAGATTAGTGGTCACTTATTTTACAGAAGACTTTTTAAAAGATAATGAATTGTTGACGGCATCTTAAAATATTAATTTTTTTATTTATTTCAAAACAAGTATAGGGTGACGCCTATGGTTTTTTGACCTATTGAGGATTTGCATACATATGATGGAAAAGGGCTATAGATAATAAAACTCTAAGAACTTGACATCAATACTGTCCTTACTGAAAGGAGGTTGAGAATAAAGAATGGTGAATATCTAAACAACTTACGTTTCGCCGATTATATAGTCATAATAGTTGAAAATCTAGGAATGGCAAGAAAAATGATACAGTAATTCGTTTTGGCTACATAAAATGTAGGTTTAAATATGAACATCTGGAACACAAAAATAATGACAAATTTGGTGCCCAACCAGAATATCAGGTGGGCAAGAAGTAGAACTCGTAGATAAATATAAATACCTAGGATATGAAATTATGATTGGCAGGGATAATCAAACCCATTAACTGAAGAGAAGAATCGGTCTTGGTTGGGCAGCATATGGAAAACTGAGAGAAACTTTTAAAATAATGACTATTTAAAAACGATTTGAAAACGGTCGACAAATCTGCAAGAACATCTGACCAAACAGTTGGAGTTTGAAATTAAACGTGCACGAAAACAATTATTTTAACTACTAACTACTGCAGAAACAAACCTAATAACACAAATACAAACTAATGCATGTTTCTGAGAATTGTTGTCGGCTTAGCTGTTTCCTTCGTAACAAATAATGCCGGTAGTGCCGATCGAACATCTATGGGACGGTTTGGAAAACTGTTTTCAAACCCATACACCTCCTCCTAACAACGCACAGAAGCTGAAGGATCTTTTAGTGAGAGAGTGGAATAACATACCCAACATGTAATACAGAGAAAAATTGAGAGTATGCCCCGTCGTTTACAAGAAGTTATTAGAGCAAGGGGAGGCAATACACGATATTAGTCATTGAAATTTCACTGATGTTTTACCACGTTCCGTATTTTCCATTCTTTTTTTTTGTCTGTTTTACCAAACTGTTGTTTTCTGCTTTTTCGATAAGAACTCATTTTTTTTTTCTTTCAAAACAAACATTTATGACAAACAAAAAATACATTAGCATAAAAAAAGATAGAGTTGAAACGGGGTTAAATGAAGTGGCGATGATTACCGTAGAAGAAATAAAAAACGCATTAAAAAAAAATGAAAGATAATAAAGCTCCTGGGCCGGGTGATTTACCTATTGAGTTATTCAAACATGCCACTGCAATGACATTAGAATTGCTTTGTAAAATGTTTAACAACTGCCTACAAGGAGAAAGTATCCCAAGAGATTGGAAAGTCTCGTACATAAACTCCATCTACAAAAAGGGAAACAGGAATGACTGCAGTAATTACCGAGGTATCAGCATTACGTCATCCACTGGCAAACTGTATGAAAGAGTTCTGAAAGCCAGAATAGAAAAAGAAGCCACAGAGATCGAAGAACAAAGTGGATTCCGACCAGAGAGATCTTGTGTCGACAATGTATTTACTCTCAAACATCTAATAGAAAAGAGATTAGCAAGAGGACTAGAACTTCATGCCACTTTTATAGATCTCCGTAAAGCGTTTGACTCCGTACCACTGCAGAGACTATGGACAACATTGGAAAACGCAGGTATAAATGCAGTATATATAAATGCCGTGAAAAAGCTATATCAAGATAACCAAGCTTATATTAAGGTTGGAAACCAAATTTCCAAGGGTTTCACCCAAACAAAGGGTGTCAAACAGGGCTCTTGCCTCTCCCCAACCCTATTTAAAATATATCTTGGTAATGCTTTAAAATATTGGATGAGAAAATGCAGCCCAATGGGCATATGGGTAAATGAAACTCCTATATACACAATCCTCTTCGCAGACGACCAGGTAGTTCTTGCCGAGGACCTACAAGATATGACGTACATGATAAACAAACTAATAGACGAATTCAAAAAATGGGGATTAGAGGTTAATACCGAAAAGACACAATACATGAATATAGGAGGCATCGGTCAAGACATGGAAACAGAAAGCGGATTAATTAAAAACGTTGATCAGTACGAATATCTCGGAGTTACACTAAGCGAAGACGGGAGAGACGACAAAGATATAACAAGAAAAATAGGAAAAGGAAAAAACATGATAAAAACACTACATCCGATTATGTGGAATAAAACTTTAACTAAGAAAACAAAGAAAAATATATATCAGGCTATGATTCAGCCGGTGCTGACGTATGGGTCAGAAGTGTGGGTCAAGAATATGTCACAAAAACTCCTCTCAACGGAAATGATGTACTGGAGAAGATGTTCCGGGTTAACTTTGTTTGACCACATAAGAAATGAAAACATAAGAGGGAGAATGAAAGTTATAATGTTATAATTTTTATTGGCAGTTAAACCGTTAAGCAGGCATCAATGATGTACAAAATACAAAATCAACACAAAGACTAATAGAGTGGAGAACAAGACGAACGGAACTAAATATAATTAGACCCCAAAAAAGATGGGTAGATATCCTAACTACTTCAGGAAACAATGGAACATACAGCACATGATATAGGTCAGTGAAGAAACTTGAATGTAACCTATGTTCAAGAGTCCACTATGGATGAATATGAGCTAAAAAAAGTTCGCGTGGTGATATTAATGAAACTATTGCGTCAAGATGTAGACTACATATACCTATACTTGAATATTCCTCGTTAGAGGTCGCTAAACGTATACTTTGGTAATTATTTTGCTATAATTTCCATACTAGACAGTGCATTTTGATTTGATTTCAGTTTCTTTACAAATCTCTTTGATGACGGGTAGACCCTGAAACACGTGTAAGAGAATGGTAAGGGACTCAAATTAAATCCAAATGCAAGAGTCTATGTTTATTTATACTGTAATAGGATAGAAAACCAAATATTGCAATTGATATTCCTTCTGTATTATTTTTCCAGAAAATAATTCAAATTTGCTAGTTTAAAGCTTATAATATTTTCGCTAACATAGCAATACAGTATTTAAAAATTAAGATTTTTTTACATACCACGTCTTTCTTGCCAATTTGAAGGACGAGTTCGATTTCATCATGGTTATAGCTGAACTCTTTGGAAACTTCTCTGAAGATACTGTCGATGGCCTTGGAGGGAAATATATTTATAAAAGCCTGTTTCTTTTCTGATTGTTGGATGGTGTCACGTACTGTAACCTTTTTCGTAAGGCCATCTTCTGGTAGAAAAACCATGTTCTGAAAAGAAGATCCAAAATAAAAAAACAGATTTTTGAAGCACCTAGATTTTATTTTAATAAGTATGGTTGTTCTCAGAACCTGTTTTCAATTGTGAAGAATTCTTGTGTTTTAGGCATTTCTACAAATATTGCATCTAATTTAAGACAAATTTGAGTGTTTCCTGGATTCGTATTAGCCATATGCGCAATTGTTATGTTAAAGTGGTTTTTTATTTGCAATTTGGATTAAAAAATAAACATGTATCTTTCCTTACTCTTATATAAACTATTGTAAATTGGTTTATTTGAAAATAAATAATGGTTATTCCAATTTTAATTATCCAGTGATTATTAACTATAATGTTATAGCTTAGGATATATAAAAACCAGGAAGGAGAATTTGCTTTTTAATGTAATGACTAGAATGGACACATCTATCAGTTTTGAGTTAGCCAGTCTTCTTATTAGGTTGCCTGTCCGTTCCGAACGTTGGCGATCATTCTGGCTATGATGACTTTGTTGGTTGCTATACGAAATAGCTGTGTTGAGTTCTTTCTATACCATGCTCTTAGGTTAGCAAGCCAGAATATTCTTCTTCGTCCTGGGGCCCTTTTTCCTTCAATTTTACCTTGTAAAATGCATTGAAGTAGCTCGTATCTGCCTTGATTTCTCAGTATATGGCCCAAGTACTGCAGCTTACGGCCCTTCACGATGTTGACCAAATCCGCAGTTGTGTTCATTCTCCGCAGTACTTCTTCATTGGTGACTTTGTCTGTCAATGGTATCTTCAAGATCCTTCTGTATGACCATAGCTCAAAAGCCTGAAGTTTTGATAGAGTTTCCGCCTTTAATGTCCAAGTTTCTACTCCGTACAGAAGCACTGAGTACGCATAACGTTTAAGGAGCCTTATTTTTGTTTCTAGGGCGAGGTCATAGCTCTTGAACACAGAACTCATAGTCAAGAATGAGAACTCTTTGCCTTTGCGATTCGGCATTTATTCTCTTGGGTATTGTCCTAAGACTCATTGATTATAGTTCCCAAGTAATTGTATTGTGAGACTCATTCAATTCTCATTTGGTTCACATACAGATTTGCTCCAGTTATGTTTTCCTTGCTGATGATCATTAGCTTGGTTTTGATGGTGTTTATAGACAGTCCATATTTTCTACTTGTTTCCGTTATTTTGTTCATTAAGTTTTGCAGCCCTTCTATGGTATTGGAAAATACTAATAAATCATCTGCATATTGCAGGTTATTGAGCTTGACTCCATTTATTGAGATACCTGCATCAATATATTTTAGAGCTTCTTCAAAAATGTGCTCCGAGTAAAGATTAAATATCAGTGGTGACATTATGCACCCCTGTCTCACTCCCGAATCTGTTCTTCACCGTACTTCTTCTAATAGCTGTAACACTTCTATAGGAATATCATCAAGTCCCGGTGCCTTTCCATCCTTCATTTGTCTGACGGCTGCCGTTATTTCTTCTGGTAGGATTTCGGGACCTGAATTTTCTTCAATGGTGGTCTCTTGTATTGTTCTAAGGTCATGGAAAAGCTTCTCCAACTATTCTTCCCATACTTTCTTTTATCTTCCCTGATTAAGGCAAGATTGCCTTCATCATCTTTTATTTTTCCGCTGTTGCGTTTTCGGAACTTTCCAGCTATTTCGTTCACCTTTAGATGAACATTGAAGTTATCATATCGACTCTGATACTCCTCTATTTCCTGATATTGTTCTGTTTTTTTTTCTTTTTTGTTTTTTTTGCCAGTTAGCCAGTGGCATACTGAAATATATTGGAAATCTGTGGTGTTTGTAATGTTATGTTCCTTAGTAAACAGTTAACATCTAACCTACTACAAATGTTTTGCTTAATTGCAATCAGCTAGGAACAAACTAAATAAATTAAAAACTATGTATATGAAACAAAATACAAGAAATATTTAGTCAATTTGTTTGGTTGTAGTAAATTATTAACCATTTTCTTTTTCTATTGCCCTTATTAGCGACTAGTCTAAAAAGTTCTACATATTTCAGGACAAAACACTTTCGTAGGTTTTTCAAGTGATATGTCCAAGATATTCAGGGATTCAAAGGTAGATAGCATTTTAGATAGTCGCTGTATGGTGGTAGATATCATGGTCTACCACCATATAGCATATGGGTCCACTACCACAGAGTAAAACCGGAAATATGTAACATTCTAACAATTTGATTTTTAGTGTTATTGAAAAATCAGTTAGTACATATTAGTAAACAGAGAGCAGTTTAGAAGTCAAATAAAAACTCTGGGAAATCAAATGTGGAGTGAGCCCAATTCTTTGTGTGGCAAATAATAAACTGTTTTTAACAAAACAGTGCACCTTGGAATATTACATTACATAACCTTGTTTCAAAACGAGATTTACACTATAGAAGGCATGAACAGTTTCCTAATAGTAAGCTCCTGCAGGATACCTACAAATCTGCACAGAAAGAGTTAATTGATGCAGTGGCTAAAGAAAAAAAAAGATTATTTCTCGAAAAAAATATCAGACTCACAAAACTACAGCAAAAAAATATAGTTAAGTAACATTAAATAATATTATCCACAACTCAAAACATACAAAAAAGACAGTAACAATTCATGAGTTAAAATATCATAATTCAACATTCAATAGAGCTGAGTGCATACCTAACCAATTAAATCAATACTTTGCATATATTAGAGAGATCATAAGAAAACTAAAAAAGGGAAATCTCCAGGCTGTGATGGCTTTAGTGTGAATTTATTAGAGACTTTGCAGAGGAACTGCTACCGATTTTAACTAAAGTAGTTAACCTCTCCCTTCTCACTGGATTAATCCTAAACTCTATGAAAATGCTGATAGTGGTACCATTGCATAAAGGAGGAGACAAAGCAACCTGGAAATTATCAGTCAATTATCTTTTAACAGCCATGCCAAAGATCTTGGAATCATGTGTAAATAACCAAATTATACAATTCTTTGATTCATCCAGCTACTGATTTAACAGGCAATATCATTTTAGACATGATTCAACACAGCCTCGGCTGCTACTGGCTTAATACAGACATATACAACAAATTAGACAAAGGGTCATGTTGTATATTTGTATCATTGGATTTGCAAAAAGCTGTCGGTACAGTTGATCATGACATACTTATTTTAGTGCTTGAACAATATGGGATAACTGGAACGGCTATAGTCTGGTTAAAGGACTATTTCAGTGGCAGAATTGTTATGTAACAATGGGCTAAGTGCAGCAGAAGATATTGTATGTGGAGTTACTCAAAGGTCTGTAATGGGTCCAACCCCTTTCCTCCATTCGAACTTCTCTAATTCGAAATATTCTTTAATTCGAATTTTTATTCTGGTCCCTAGCATTTCCTATATAAGTAATGTTAAAAAGTCGTGAATAATTCGAATTATATTTTGGATAAGTCGAACTTTTCTACAAGTTAAAAATGCCAATTTCATGCTGGAAATTTCTGCTAAAAGAGGTAGTATTCTTTTCTATTCTAACGTGCCACTTGTTTCAAGGCATTCAAGGCCATTGTACATTGTACCCGTACCTGTCACCTAATTTCTACCCCATCTGGCTTCAGTTGAGATGCGTTGGCGATGCAATTGCAACCACCGCAAATCACGTCAAGTCACTTCGTATTGAGTAAAGATGTCGTCGCAATGTAATACGAAAACATTCAAAATTTTAACGTTATCGGAAAAAATAGCGGCAATTAGAGTAGAAAATGGGACGAAGAAAAAATCTAAGATTGGCAAGGACTTTGTAATTCCTCCTAACACATTATCCACATACTTGAATAAAGAAAAAATTCTCAACAGTGAAAGTGAGTGCGGTAAAGATCGAAAAAGGTTAAGGGAGCCAGAAAATCCAAATTTAGACAGTTGTGTTTTAAAATGGTTCAAACAAGCTAGGGATAAGAAGATTCCCGTGAGTGGTCCCCTTATAAGAAGCAAAGCTGAACAATTTGCTATTGAAATGGGAAAAATAATTTTATGGCGAGTACAGGGTGGCTCGTCGGGTTTAAAGAACGCAACAAAATTTCTTTCAAATCCATTTGTGGAGAAAGTGGGACCGTTAATCAGCAAGAAGCCAACCAGTGGAAAAAAATTTTGGAAGAGATGATTCAGGGTATAGATGAAAGAGATATCTTTAATGTTGACGAGACAGGTCTCTTTTTTAAATGCACTCCTGACAAAACGCTAGCATTTAAAAACGAAAAATGTCACGGAAGAAAACTAAGTAAAGAAAGAGTAACTCTCCTAATCGGTGCAAACATGGACGGATCGGAAAGACTGCCTCTACTGATGATTGGCAAGTCGGCCAATCCGCGTTAATCCTGCGTTTTAAGAACGTCAAGTCAAAACCAGTGGAATATGTGAGAAGCGCAAGAGCTTGGATGACTAGTGATCTTTTCGAGAACTGGCTGAAAAAATTAGACAAAAAGTTCATAAAAGAAAAGTTATTTTGTTTATTGACAATTGTACGACACACACCACTATGCCACTGATGGAAAATGTAAAAGTTATTTTTTTTCCTGCTAACATGACTTCAGTTCTTCAGCCTATGGACCAGGGTGTCATAAAAAATTTTAAACATTTTTACAGACGTTTTTTTGGTTGAAAACATATTGATGGAAGATTGCGACACCCTTAAAATAAAGCTAGACATTCTACAAGCGTCTCGAATGTGTAAGAAAGCTTGGGACAAAGTAACACCTGAAACGATCAAACACTGTTTCAAAAGAGCTGGTTTTATAAAAAAGGAGGAGAACACAGACGAAAATTTAACAGAAGTACTGATTTCAGTTGACTGCTGGGGGGACATCATTTCTGATCCTGCCATCTCTTATGAAGATTTTGTCAACGTGGATGAAGATGTTGTAGTATGTGGTGAAATAACCGATACAGAGTTCATCGCTGAAGTGCTTAAGGACAATGATGATATGATGAAAAACAAGAGAGTGATGAAGACGACGCATCATCAGTTGAGGG